ATATATATTTATATATATGTATATATAGTCAGTTTAATTCTGGAAGCAAAACCAACTCAGTGGCACTTCTATTAACAATTACCAATCACAGACCAAAATGTTAATAACTCCAACCTGGAAAAAGCCGCACTGCTGCACTAATTACGATATGAGTTGCTGCAATATCTCATGGGTGTGCAGAATAGCCGTAATGAAAATTAAGGTTAAGATTTACTGAGTAAATACCATATTCTAAGTGCTTTATAGATATTAGTGATTTTACTTCCTACCACAACCCTGTGGGGTAGTTACTATTATTCTTCTCGTGTCAGAGAAGGGAATGCTGTAGCAGAGAGGGTTAAAGTCCAAGTATGACACTAACAATTTAACCTCAGAGCTTACACATTTAAGCTCTGTTATTCTATCCTTCAAAAGGATGAAGAATTTCTTCTGGTGGATTCATAGATGCCTCTAAGGATGTAAAAAAAAAATGATAAAACTCATTTTGGTTATTCTGGGAAGACTAGCAATACTCTATCCTCTGTCCACTTGCTTAGTAGTTCTCAGTCACTGTTTTGGAGAACAATGGAATAGTCTAAAATAGAGAAGACATAAGTTAAAGACATCATTCAACTGGTTAAAGGCATGGAAAGTCACTGTTCAGTGGTACAACAGAAATCAATACCACACAGTTCTCCAGAACAGCCGTCTTTTACAAACACCCCTGATATATTTAAGCTGCTCCCCTGCTCTCAAATTTGTGAGGGTGGGCAGGGGCGGGTGATGAAAAGTCACACCATATTTGATTACTAGGGACATTTTATGAGCGTGTATTCTCTCACAACTTCTAGTTTACTAATTTCAGCTTTTTCCTTATCTTTAGTTACTAGTTTTCTAGTTTTTATTTAACTGTCTATTTCCCTTCACCAAAATGAAATTCATCTATCTCTCACCATTGCTCTGAGTAATCTACAGTTTTCAGACATAGGTGAGGGTCTGAAAGAGGTGAGATGGGCTGAAAGTCTCTCCCATACATTCTTTCCCCAGAGTGACACTTTCCTCTTCAGGATACTTAGACTCTTTATAAATGTGATCCTGCCTTCCTCGTGGACTATGGTCATCTCTTCCTGGCTCTACATGTATGCTTTAGGTTTTTCTTTAAGAGAAGATGTTTTGAGTAAAACTCTGACTAGGTATGGTAACTTCAAAAGTGTAACAGGGTCATAGGTGTCTAGTTTGGGCAAATTACTGAGTCTCTGAAGTTCTGTGTAGATCCCCTTAAAATCACATAAGAGAAAAAAAAACTAAATACAAAGCAAAAGATAGAGTGTGTTGATGATTCTGTGCTGCCTTAGGCAGACTCTGACCTAAACGAACATCAGTTGCTCAGCTGCACAGTGTGTATGTGTAGAGAAAGGGTAGCGAAGCGGACTGTTGCTTAGGTTCGAGAGGGGTCCAGTTCTGGGAATCAAACCTTGGACCTTGCATGTGCTAAGCAAGTGCTCTATCACTGAGGACACCTGTAAACCTCTTAGGTTTCTTTTACATCCAAGATTCCTTGAGATGCAAAGTTCCCCTCAGAAGCTTGTTAGAAACACCAGATAAAGAGAATTTCCACTAACAGGTTTCTATCTATAAAATAATGCACTTTTATGATCTACCTCCTATAAGTTAATGCATAAAGAGAAACAGTTTCACAGCAACTTGAAAATTGAACCAATCTCAAATAATACAGGTAAAATAAACTCTACAATAATATTATTACTTTGTATCCAAAGAATAATCTCACGGCAATGGCCCCATAAAATTCAAATATACTTTTAATGATATGTTTAGTTACTTACAGTTACTTCACACATAACACAATTTTTAAAAACCTATCTAGTTAGAAAATAGCCATTATAATTCTTCTGTTATAATAATTGAACTAAAAATATTTCAAAGTACTTATTTAAAAATACGTTCTTGAGAAAACACCTAAAGAAATGAAAGTTAATTTAAACTCTTGGATATATTCTTGGACACAGATATTTAACTGGTCATTTCAGCAATGCTATAAAATATACCTATATATAATGTTTTCATTTGACAGAAGTCAAAAATCTTAGCATGGCAATGTGGAAGACAACATAAATATAGATTAGGTATCAGAAATCTACAATTTGTGTAGTATAGGCAAAGAGATACATACACAAAACACAGCAAGTAAAGCATGTGATCTATTTAAAATGAACATATGAGACTATAATGGAATGAGATAAAACTACTTCTGTTTCAAATACAAGATACAATTACTCCATAACTTTTTACTGTGTGTGTGTGCTTTTTTTAATTTTTTTATGTTTTGGTGCTAGGGATCAAACTCAGGACCTTGCACTTGCAACGCAGGGGGTGGAACCACTGAGCTAAATCCCCAGCCCTGTGTGTGTATTTATTAGTGGTATAACTTCATACTATACACAAGCAACCATGGAAGGTTCTGCTACAAGACTAAAACACAAATTAGATTTATTAGTTTTATGCTTGAGACATAATGAATATAAGTGTATAAAAAAAACTTTAAATTTTAATAAAAATAAGAGTACATTAGATGACAGAGAAATCACAACCATGCCACCTCTGCTCAAAACTTTGTGTGCATGTTTTCTTCTAGCTTTATCCATGAGCAAGCACAACAAAAGACACAATAGAAGAGTGTGTCGAGGCAGTGGTGACTATTTATCAAATAAGCCCTATGTATAATAATTGCTTTGAATGTTCAGAAAGAAGAAATGTCATTTCGGTTTGACATGATCTGAGATTTCACAGAAGACTTGAAAGGTAAATGTTAATACAAGAAGACAACCAACTGCATTCTAAGAATAGAATCATACTGGCAAAGTCAGGAAGTAGAAAGATAAGGCATGTAGGAAAATGGTGGGTAGTAAAACTATCATGGCAGAGTTATATAATTAGAGATTCTGGTTTATAAAAGACTTTAAAGTCATCTACTAGAATAGCTGTATGCTGAGGCTAATAAAAAATAATTTGGCTAGTGCACTGTAGAGAGCAGATAGTAGCCAATTTCTGAGCCAGCAAAGGCCATGATCAAAGTATTCGTTCATAAAAATAGGAAGTATCAACTGTGAAGCAGGGAAGACAGGAAAGTAACCTCTCTCATAGGCAGCTGGGGTCCTTATCAGCCTTCAGAGTCCAATCAACTGCCATTTCTGGATTATGCCTTCCTGGAAACCTCCAGTATCTCTCCTGTCCATGAGCTCCCAAAGCCTTTCTTGTGCCTGCATCACATAAACAGGCTCCTCTGAGACTCAGGCTTCTATCTTCCCTCCAACAACATCTAAAGCTGATGGTATATTGTGTCAAACTTGGTATTTCTACTTCTCTCCCTACCAACATCACCAAGCACAAGGTGCATGGTAGTATTTTAAGAAATATTTATGGAATTGAATTTTGATGTGAGAGTTATTTATAACCAAACCATCAGTATTTATCAAGAAGCACATGACCCGGCTTGGACTCAGAGCCACCTCTGCTGTGCAGCCCGGCCCGAACTACAGGCCTCCTCTGGAGCCACGCCATTTCCAGCGGGCACCACTGACTAGCTCTGACACAGCACCAGGAGGGTAGCTGCGCGGGTGCCGCTGAACAGCATCGTGGCCCCCCACCCCCGGCTATTAGATCCCCTGATTGAGCCAGTCCTTGGACGCACTCTGCAGAGGCATGGTGGGTGATAAAGGGTGGTTATTGATCCTTTTATGTTCCTGATTGTATCAATAGGAATAAAGGATAGGGATTGACTTGATGAGTTGTTTTCTCAATTATGAAAATGAGAATGTCTATAAGTCATTAGAGAATCAAAGACTGGGACGCAACGATATAAGGAAGATTTAATGACACAGAGATTGAATCAAGGGCAACCCAACAGCAAAAATAAAGATGAGAAAAAACTTAAGCAAGCCACAAAAACAGACTTCCAGTCCACCAATGGCAAACAGTAGGGCAAAGGAGGATGAAAAATCAGATAGTGAACCTCTAGGACACTCAGAACTCACAGCACAGGAAGTAAAAAAACTGATCAATCAAGCTCTAGAAAAATTCAAAACAGAAATTATTTCCCAGATAACCATAGAGATGGTGAGCAAAATGAAAGACATGATTCAAGACTCCAGAACAGACACTGACAAAAAAATAGATGAGCTTAGGAACATAATAGAAGCCATGAAGGCCCAGCATAAGAAAGAAATGGAAACAATAAATGTCCAACACAGGAAAGAAATTTAATCCATTAAACAGATTCAAACAGATATCCAGGAGATTAAAAACTCTACTGAAAGCATACACAACAGAATAAAAGATGGCAAAGATAGAATCTCCGATATAGAAGATAGGATAGCAGACAGTGACCATAAAAAGAGAAGTCTCTTAAAAACAGTAAGGGAGCATGAGAAATCGATCCAGCAACTCCTAGATGAAGCAAAGAAGAATAACATAAGACTGATAGGAATCCATGAAGTACCAGTAGAAAATACAAATGACTTAAAAAAGCTGTTCACAGAATTAATGATAAAAACTTCCCAAACAGAGGGGAAGAATTTGACATACAGATAAGTGAGGCCACATCAAAAAAAATCTACACCTAGACATATAATAATCAAGATCC